TCGGTTGTTTTTTCAAAGCATAATGTTTCTTTCCCTACCCATCATCTTGGTCCTCTCATTAAAAGATCTGCTGCAACGTCTCCGATAAGGAAACTCCCCTACCGATATCCGTCCCTCAAACAAGACGGTGATATCGCATGGAGATTGTTACACAACTGTCTTGCATCTCCTAGTACATTGCACAAAATGAATGCACAGATTGCACCTGCTCGTGCATTGTGTTTTGAAGATGGAACTGAAACGCACATGTTTCTCTTGCGTCGCTCATTGATATCCCTGAATAAATATATACAAAAACTTCTAGAGAAGATTTGGCCACAGAATGTTACTAAGACTCTAAGAGTGTTACTAATTTAGTTCCGTACCATCAAGAAATTCCTTTGCAAAACAGGCGAAAACCTTGATTGATTTTAAACTAACCCTTTGCAAAGCAACAATCTATAGAACCTACATGAATTGTATGAAAATTGTCTCTCATAATTCTCTACATTGTGCCATTATATTTCAGGAAAAACTCAGGTCGAGAATTGATCAAGATCATTTCATCAAATGAAGATGAGAGATGAAGACGCGTTCAATGATTTTTGAGAACCGATACCCAGTTGTCGTATGAGTAACATTAAAAATCGAATATTACCTTAATAGAGTTTTGTGGCTCCCGCGGGACATTATTTTGTTCGCGGCCCTGCATGGGTTCTGCCCATGACAGGGTTGGGCCCGCATAGCCCTCCATTGTTTTTCTGGGGGTGTGACCTCCCCCTTTCCGGTCACGCCGTCCTTCGTTTTTCCGTCTCGCGTGTTGTCCTGTGTCTTCCGTCGAGAGTCTTCGTCTGGGGCAGTCCCTCTTACCAGCCGTGCTTGCAGCCTTTGTTTTGTTGGTCTGACATCGGTCGCCCTGCCTACTCAAGACCTCCTCAAGACCCCAATCTGTGATATTTATTATTTTCTCGTAATTTAACTTTAATTAAATACCTGTTGTCCTTGTTTGAACACCGTTGTATTATTTGTCATCAGTCGTCTCCATACACGGCTTGTCCTGTCTGTGGAGTGAGGCCAGGACCCTTTCTTTTGCCTCCGATTAACCGCTCGGGCTAAATTGTCTTTCTCTTGTTTTCGGCTTAAAGTTAACGTTAAAAGTCCACTTTTGAGGCCCTCCACACGACACATATATACCTAGTCCAGCCATAAATACTGTTACAAGGTTTTCTTGTAATAACTCGTTTCTTATGAAACATACGCTGTATTTGCTAACAGCATTTATTTCCCTACATAACTACTAACATATTACAGAAACATTATTCAAAATGTCCACCCCTGGCCTTCACACATGACTTTAAACAATCAGACCACTCATACATCGCAGTACGCACCACTTCCATTGGATATTGGTTGCTGATTTTGCAAGGGCTCGCTTGAGACTTTCAATCTTTGGATGTCTTCTGTGGTTGGCTTTCAGTTCAAACTCTGCCCACAGTTTGTTGGCCATTGGGTTCCCAGATGGCCAATCGGAGGCCTTGATGAACTCGGGGACATTGCTGGTTTCTGCATTCCTGCGTTGTCCTAACCTTGTTAGCAGGTTCGGAATCTTGCTGGAAGATTCAGTTGCCCCCATTGAACATTGTTTAGCTGAGAGGCTTCAATAACTACTTTAAGACTTCTTCCTGGTACACTTTGGCTGATGTCTTCACTTCTTGCTTTTTTGAAAAATGCAGCTTGGTGACACCTTCATAACTCACCCCCTACCAAACCATGACAGAAGCAGTACGGTGACCTCTCTTCACCTTATGGATGACTTCTGCAGCTTCCCAAGAGTTGTGGGCATACACTTGGTCATTCGCCCAGTTGAATTTTTCTTCAACAGTGAAGTAAAGAGGATATTGTGGTGTCTGTTTTGCGCGTACCTCTGCAGCAACACTTTTGATCGCGACCTCCTGATTTCTTTCAGGGATGGAGTCAGCATGTGTCCTGTGCTTCTTCAGTAAGCACCCATCCTAGGTCTGATTTAATCAACCGATACGTGCTTTAGGTCGAGATGGCCATTTCCCTGGCCATCACTTTCTGCTTGCGTAGAGGATTTCGCTGAATCACGTTGCTAACTTCTTCGATGACTCGTGGTGTTCTGGGAGTGGGTGGACGTCCAGATTTAGGGCGGTCTCGTACTCCCTGAGTATCATTGTAACGTTTGATAGCTCGGTAAGCAAACTGCCGACTGATTCCAAGTGGCTGGAAAGTCTTGAAATGATTGCAGGTTTCTGACCCACTTTGTGCAGGGCTATCTCTGCTATGCGATTCTCTTTGTCACCCCACTCCATGTTTACTGCACGCAACACAACAGCCAAAATGTTACCAAACAATACGGCAGATAATACACTACACGATTACCAGGTAATAAGTTTCTAGCTTCTTTCGCTAGAATGCAAGGACCATGTAAATCTTGTAACAGTATTTATGGCAGAACTAGGTATATTTCTAAAGCATATTCTAGTTGCTTACTGCCTAGTCTCTTAAGTCAACATTGTCCCCCCTCTTGCTTGTCCATAAAAGCATCCAGTTTCTTCTTTAAAGTAGTCACAGAAGCGTACCACTATGTCGTCGCTTCGTCGTTGGGAAAATGGGTTCTTCCATGCTATTTATTACATTTGAAAACAATGTATATTTATATATAAATATTTATTTATTTTTACTAGCGAGTTTGTTTGCCCTTTGGGCAGACAAACTCGCTATGGTCGCGCCTTCGGCGCTCCATAACCTTGGATAGTGATTAATTCATTAATTTTTTGCGAAATGGGAAACACGTATTTAAAGTACGTCCCCTTTGAAATATGTTAAATATGGGGTCGAAAGTCTTGATTTTTATCAAAATCATTACTTCTATTATTTATAGAATGCCTAACTTGTGCGTTTGGCATGCTGGCCCAGCGTGTCAGTTTGGCATGTAAGTCTCGGGTGTGCGTTTGGCAAGCCGACTCAGCGTGTCAGTTTGGCATGCCAGTCTAGGGTGTGCGTTTGGCATGCCAGCGTGGCAAGGATCCGCTGCAATCTGGGAATCAGGTCTAGAAGAATACTTCCCCTTCTCGCGATTCCCCCCGTCACGCCTGGATTTCACGTATCGCGAGTGCACGCCCGAGTGGCTGGACCGAGACGGGAAGCCGCCGATCGACCGGAAAACGGGGTTCGCCCAGTACACCTTGCACTTCAACGGGCACGTCAAACATAAGATGGCGAGTTCCTCGCGGGCCATCGTCGGGGAAGGCGTGGACATCCCGCGGGAGGCGTATTTCGTCGACTTCGACCGGCAGAGGAAAGTCCGTCTCAGGGACCTTTGTCAGGGAAAACTGTGAGCCTGTGTTCACCCTTGACGCGGTCTCGAAGCCCATTGAGAACAGTTCAAGGGACCATCGACAAGGTGTCTGTGCGTTTCGATGCAACACTGCGGCCTAAACTCATGTTTCCGACACGCATGTTGATGTTGGATCTCATCGAAATTCGTTGTTGCTGTATTCAAATTTGCTGGTGAAGTTTTTGTCGCTTTCTCTTTTTTAGACGTTTGACGTGAAATGACTCCAGATGTATAAGATCTTATTCAATATGGTAACGAGACATTGCTTACTGCAAATATGAAATGTTGGACCGTAAGTTCAGGAAAAGTGTAGAAAATTCTTTTTCGTCCGCTACATCCTGTAGTTACTTTTTTGGCTGTAGCAAATGTTTGCAAAGACCGAATGGAGGACATTGAAAGAAAATATTTGTCATTGACGTAGGAGCCCCAATGTGACTTCATTTCGTGGAAAATTACATGCCATTTGAATAATGCCAGAAAATAATTATTATAATAGAAATTCAGCAGTTGAGCCAATTTTCATCGAATAGAGCCAAAGCCACAACCGACCAGTATTAGAAAATTCATAACATTCCCAGGCATTACCGTTAGAGAACGAAACTCATGCCGTCATTCTTGTTAAACCCCGGTGAATATATGCAATTATGGACAAGATCGGATTCCTGAAATCAGATACTTTCTGAACCACTAGAGAAAAATAAATATTGCGTACACATGTATACAAAATGCAAAAGTTTATGCGAAAGGGTCTGCCAGATTCGTGTCACCATCGTTTTCAGCACTTTGGCTCGTGGAGCATACTCTTGTCATACTCTCGCGTAAAATTTGACATTGTCGACCATTCTTGACATGGTCGACCTGAGACCCTTCGCAATGTAACAAACAAACAATGCCTATGTAACGAAGTGACATGCACAAGAATTAATGTGAGATCGATAGAACCCAACGACTCCACGCTAAGAATACTGGGCTCGTGGAAACCGTTGACCCTGGCGGTCGGCCCCGGAAACCGTCGGCCCTGGCGGTCGGAAACCGCCGAGGACCGACCGATTGCAAACGAGCGGTGCAACGGTGGCCTCTTCCTCGCAGATGCTGGCCAGAAACGAAAGCTGGAGCCTGTATATAAAACATTGTTGAGGGTATGGAAATTGTGCAATAATGCGCAGGGAGTGTCGTCAGGTGAGGGAATCGTCTGAAAAAAATGAGACTCAATGGAAAATGAAGTTTGACCTAATTCGGGGTCGAAATCGTTGGATATACGAATAAAATATTCATCGACGACAAGAAATTCAAATCATGCACGGACGACTCGAAACGAGAGCTCTAATTCGAGCCCCCCCCCCCAAATTGGACAAAGCCGTTTTGCCTATTGATTCTTGAATTTTGGAGCAATGTTTCGAACAAGTCCGTCCACAGGGAGCCGAGTCTTCTTAGAATCCTTTCTCTGAAAGAAAAGCATTCTTCGCCATGGACTGGAAAGGTTTCTTCTTCCGCGTTGATGATGTAGTTCTCCACCGCAGGAGATTCCGAAATGTTCTCGCCTGTTAGGTGCATGGCAAATATAACACGGAATTGTGCGTTGTGCATGATGATCCCAGAACGCTTTTAAAGTCACTGGAGGCAACATTGAGTGAGACGAAAAATTCTACCTTCAACGCTTTCAACGCCTTGCATGTTTCATGAGCTGCTGGATCTGTCGCTGTATCGTGCTCAAGGCTTCTTCCATGTGCGAACTTCGCTTCATTCTTTTCGCTTCTTCGTCTTCGTGCTCCTTGTTGATTTCTATTTCTTCTTGTCTCTTGCCGTCGTCCTCGATCATTTCAGTGAGGATTTCTTCGACGTGTTCCTTGATGTGATCGGGAAGGTCACGCTTTTTTTCTTGAATTCGGCCTGATTGCATGACGTCGATGCACTTCGAGCCGGCAAGAGATTTAAAGGGGAGCCAAGAGCACTTGAGCACGTTTTCCATGCTGAATAACAGATGAACCAGTTGGTGAAGGCGGGCAACCTTCTCGCGTGCGGCCAGCTCGAGCACGACGCTGACCGCGAGGGAGGTCAGGAGGTTCATGATCACGATGCTCATGAGGACCACGAAGACGATGGAGATGATGTGCTCCGTCCACTTGAGAATCCTCTCCGACTCGAAGAAGATGGAACTGAACTCCAGCTCCCCAGACATCATCACGGCTGCCTGGTAGATGGAGGTCGGGACGTCGGGAAAGTGATCGGGGAAAAGGATGTGGAAGCTGAGACCAAACCCGACGATGAGACAGATGCAGGTCGGCAGGAGCTTCAGGAACGCCTTGGAGACGCTCGTCAGCATGGCGACGTACAGATTCTGCCCCGGCAGCTTCCCGACGAGCATCGCCACCTCCAGCCAGACCAGGAGCATGGTGATCGCGCAGACGTGCAGGCCCATGTCCCGGTTGAAGAAGTGGCTGCCCATTTTGTTTGCGATCAACAAGCCGTCCAAGACGATCAGCAAGAGCTCGACTATGTTTTCCATTTCCTTGAAATACGCCCACTTCCTAGCCGCGATCTGGGCCAGCTCCCGCAGCAATATGATCGCGGTGAATACAGACACGGTGATCAGTAATCCGTCTGTGATCGGTTTCAGGCTCGAGTCAGTCGGCAGGTCTTCCTCGCATTTCTCCACGTCCCCCTTGTTTCGAATGCAATAAGTATATTCCCGAAAACGCTCGTAGTAAGATTTCATGACCGCTGTAGCCGTCAGCAGCAACGCATACGTGAGGTACACAATCAAATTTAAGTAGAAGAAGGGCCGGAATTTCTCCCACTTCTTATGCAGGAAACGAGCACAGACCGGGTGCGTGAGCAGATTCGAAGCTCCGCCTTCCAAGAACTCCCAGAAAGTATTCATCTCCCGGGAATCCTTGAGACTCTGCCCGATCGCGATGAAGGGCGAGAGATCGAATTCGATCAACTTCCCCGCGTCCGACATCGTCTGCCGGACGGTCCGATCCAGCAACTTCCCCGTGAGATCTGGGAACTTCGTCGCGAGAGTGAGAGTGGCGTCGACGTGGTTCAGCCTCGCCCCGAATCGCGTCAGGTGCCGGATGGACTCCTCCGCCTTGGACACGGCCGCGTGCATCACGGGCGTGTTGTAGTCGGCGTCCTCCGCGTTGGGGTCCGCTCCGTGCTGGAGGAGGTGGAGGACGACTCCCGACCCGCCTTCCCCCAGTTGGCATGCCAGGTGCAGAGCCGTTTGGCCCTGGATATCCCGCTCGTCCACTCTGATCCCCCGACGTATCAATTCCTTTTAAAAATAACAATAAGCTCATGGTGAATTCCGCATATGAATCCAGAGCACTTCGATCAGTGGAAAGTGCTCCGTTTCAATTCATATCAAACGTACTTTAAGCAAAAATGGTTCAGCTCTTATCCCCCCAATAGGTATTAAGGCTGAAATTATTTACCTTCATTATTTATCTTCGCAGGTTAAAAATGTAACCTTCCTCACAGGTTCATTAAGAAAAGTCATTTGAATAGGTCAAATGACAAAATAACCTGGTTTAATAAATAGTAAGCATGTATCCTGGTGAATTACATACCTTTTACAATAAGGCATTACATTTTTATTGATAACTCCTTGAGCGCAGAACATTTTTTTTTCAGACTTTCTTTTCGAAGATTGTGCCACCTGTGGGTACGCACCTTGACGACGGGAAAGCACCGGAGACCGCTGCCAGCTGAGACATGAAGAGCCGTCTCTCCCCTGCTGTTTACTGCATTAACATCTGCTCCGGCTTCCAACAGGATCTGGACCGGATCGGACGCGGCCAGAGAAGCCGCCCCATGCAGCGGCCTCTCCTCGTCCCTGCACGACACAAACCCGTTCATCCCCCGTCAGGCAAGCGGATTCGAAACATAGCACAGACCCATTCGCGGCGTCGACGTCCGCCCCGGCTCGGATGAGGGCCTCCATGCACGCTTGGTGGCCCAGCGAAGCGGCCGCGTGGAGGGCCGTGTTCCCTTTCGGGTCTCTTGCATTCACGTCCGCACCGCTCTCTATTATTGCCTTCGGAATAAGAAAATCCTTGGATGAAAAAGCACAGCATGAACATGAAGCAAAATGCGGTTTGATCTATTAATTTAATGTCTATACTTTCATTATCATATTGACCCAGTTTCTCATCGTTCCATATCTTAAGCAGTCATATGAAACTGTGGGAAAACTATTATTCGAAGGCTTTCCCCTTTCTTATTTCGTGGTCCCCTCTCCCCCCTGCCCCCCACCTTCCTTGTCCCCCTCCCCTCTGAAAGGGGGTAGGGGGGCATAGGGGTACATACCATGGGCACGTATCATGTGCATAACTGTCTTTTGGCTGGTCTATCTCTTCCGAACCCCCCCTCGAAAGGGACCATGAGGATTTAAAAAAATCCTGAAATTACATTTTTATTTTAAAAAAAAGAGTTATGTTTCCTCAGCCCTGGAGATACGAAGATTTAAGTTTGCAGGATTGCTTCTGTGTTTGAAGGTAGGAATCAGTCACAGTTCTTTCCTCCACAGACTCTCAAATATGAATCTGAATAGTTGGATTTTTGTTATGGGAATGGGTTGAAGAAAGGGAATAGGTGAATAGATATTGTTATGTTGCAAATCCAAGGAAATCTGATTGCTGCGATCGTGCAATTTGACTATTAACGTGTTTCATGGCCTTCATGGGACATATAGGGTAAGGTGGAAAAAATGAGACAAGGTTAACATATTTGAACATTCGGTTAGGGCAGGAGTTCCTAACTTTTTTCTCCCTACGCATCACCTCAAACTCTATGCATCCACCATGTACCCTCCCTCTCACATTTTTCCCAATTAGGATTAGGGATATAAAGGTGATAAAAAAAGGAGCCATGAAGAATATATCAGCAATATATGTTTTTCTTTTCAACTGACCATCCTCGCACAACTGCACCTTTGCCCCGCACTCCTGGTTAAGAACCGCTTAGTTAAGGGATGTCGGAGTGGTTTTACGCTAAATCGTCACTAGATATCTCTTGCTTTCCTCGTTGACAGCAAACAATAAGAGAACGCGATACCTTGCTCATCTAGGCAGGAAAGAAAGTGTGAGTGGAAGCAGAAAACAAAATATTCTTTCCGCTCGTCCCGTAATCTCCCCGTCCCTCCACCCACTTCCCCATTACTCCACGTCCTCGACCCGGTCCTCCTCAGAAAAAGCATCGGAAGAAGATCGTAAGACTCACTTTGACCTTGGAGAGCTGGTTCCTCGCAGCCGCAAGGAGAAGCGGAGCCTCCCAGCTCTTCCCATTCCCAGTCGTCCCAAGCAATTCCTGGGCGATCCTGTCCTCCAGATCCTCCTCCTCCAGGCCCGTCCAGTACCTGAACTCGAAGGAGCTCATCGTCGGCTCTTCCTTCTCGAGCCGGACGGCGAAGTGATTCTCCATGCCTCACAGGGGATGTGACGGGGATGCGATGGGGAAGCGATGGGGAAGCGATGGTCGCCGATCTGATATTTCGTCCCCGCCGATCCATAAAATTGCGTCTTCCTTCGCGTAAGGCATGGCAACCGAACGCAACGCTCTCGGCGGATTCCTGAATTTTGCATTGCCGGCAAACGCAGATAAGAGGCCGAGTCGAGGGAGAGGACAGCGAGTGAAAGGGAGGCGATGACAAGGACAGCTTCATTATTCATGGGCGCTCTTCGTCGATTGGGATGCATGCACTTAATGCTTCACGTGCCAACATTAAAGATTTTCCGTCAAATGATCATTAATTTCATAGTATGGACTTGGTGGTCTCGAACATCTCGGCGACCCTAAAACCGCCGTTTTGCATGCCGTTGGAGTTTCATTGGAGGAGCAGCGACAGTTTTTTTTGTTTTAAGAATGGCATTCTATAAAAGAAATGAATGACCTTATTTTGCAGTTAGAAAAATGCAAATATCTTAATCAAAAGTAATCTCAGCTCATATTAACCCATTGGATTACGCCTGCTGAACTCGCTCGCATTTAGCGCGCTATCAATCATTATAGACGCTTCATTTAAGGCTTAGGCGAAAGAAACGATTCCAACTCGTAATTATTATTTTTTTTAATTGAGAGACATGGCTACATGCCTTCATGTGAAACGATTTCATTGAAGAAGATGGTAAAAACCAAAATAAGCGCTACTTCTTTGTATCCGAATAAATGAATTAGGCAATGGATTACTTCACTTTCGGTTTTTCTTTCTAACGACCAACTTAAACGACGTTTCAGTGCATTCGGCACTCGTTTCCCATACTTGAAAAAAGGGGGAGGGTGTGACCCCCAGCTGAACCTCGTCCCTGAATATTGAAATCGGCCGGCGATCGACAATCTCTCATCGAACGGCCGTCCATCATCGACCGGAGACCGGAAATCGATGTCCCATCCATCAGTTGAATCGCTCGTGGTGGTCGATGGCGAGACATCGTTTTCGATTCACCTCCCTTCGAATGCCTTTGCAGGCTCGAAGGACGTCGACGTCCGGACCTCCATCTACCAGGCAACCGCGAAGATGTTTGGGGAATTGGAGTTTGAATCCATCTTCTTCGAGTCGGAGAGGAATCTCGAGTGGACGGAGCACATCATCTGCCTCCTCTTCGTGGTCCTCATGAGCGTCGAGGTCGTGAACCTCCTGACCCTCCTCGCTGTCAGCATCGTCCAAGAACTGGCCGTAAGGGAGAAGGTTGCCCGCCTGCAGCGGCAGGTTCGTCTGTTATTCAACATGGAAAACGTGCTGAAATGCTATTGGTCCCCCCCCCCCCATTAAATCTCATGGAAGATCGAGGGACATCGACGTCATACAATCAGGTCGAATTCAATTTTTAAAAAAGTGCGACCTTCCCGTCCGGATGAAGAAACTCGAAGAAATCCTCGCAGAAGTGACGGAAGACAAGAGGAATTGGAATTCAAAGAAACGAAGAACACGAAGACGAAGAAGCAAGAATAACGAATGGAAGATTGCACATGGCAGTCGCACATCGAGCGCATTTAACGTCGACTCGTTCCTACCCGACTCCTTCCCTCCGACCTTCCCACAGGAGGAAAAACCCAGCTCGTCCAGCGCGATGGAGGCACGAGGACCGGCGCGATGTCACTCCGCCCATTTGCCAGGCGCCGTCGACCGTGAATCCTCCTCGAGGACTCGACTCCCTTTCATCTCGATCTCGGAATGGCGAGGAACTCGATCCTCTTATGGCGCGTGGTAACACTTTTGAATTTTACAGCGGTGGTCAGAAAAATTTTTTTTTGAAACGTATGCGGTTTCCGGGAGAAACAGAAAGTGCTGAAAGTGCTTGGAAAAAAAAAAACCGAAATGAGTGAAGAAGTAAATCGGGACGGGACCGGACACTGTTGCTTTGGCTATCGAGCATTGCCAATAGACAATGCCAATGCACTTGTCCCTTAGCGAAAGGCCGTAAGTAATTCACGAATCGATTGAGCCCGGTTAGAATGTTCTGTATTCAGTACTTCGAAGGAAAAGCAGATAGTCGCGAAGAAAAAATAAAATTCCTTAGTGCCAGTTTCCAATGAAGGGAAATAGAAGAGGCAATTGAAAATTTGCAACGCAGTTCGCCAGTTCGAACATTTGCTTCCTCGCAGACCCTCTCTTTCTCATCGACCGATTCCATGACTTGACGTGTTTTCGGTGGAAAATGACGTACGTGACATGCATGCAAGTCAAGATGATGTTGCAGTCAGCGAAGACGCAGGAAAAGCGCTTCTTTCTCGTGGCAGAAACTTGCGCGACTGTACCGCTAGCGATACTGAATGTGATCCCGACGAGAAATTTCCCTTTCTTGGTATGGCCTGGCATGCCGGTGTAGCTTGTGCGTTTGGCATGCCGGCCCAGGGTGTGCGTTTGGCATGCCGGCCCAGCGTGTCAGTTTGGCATGCCGGCCCAGGGTGTGCGTTTGGCATGCCGGCCCAGCGTGTCAGTTTGGCATGCCGGCCCAGCGTGTCAGTTTGGCATGCCGGCCCAGGGTGTGCGTTTGGCATGCCGGCTCAGCGTGTCCGTTTTCCCTGCCAGCATGGCAAGGATCCGCTGCAAGCTGGGAATGGGGTCAAGAAGAATACTTCCCCTTCTCGCGATTCCCCCCGTCACGACTGGATTTCACGTATCGCGAGTGCACGCCCGAGTGGCTGGACCGCGACGGGAATCCGCCGATCAACAGGAAAACTGGGTTCGCCCCGTACACCTTGCACTTCAACGGGTACGTCAAGCATAAGATGGCGAGTTGCTTCAAAATTCAAATACCAAAATACCATTCAAAATGGCAATATTGCTAATTGCAAATATGAAACCTTGGACCGTAAGTTCAGGAAAAGCGTAGAAAAATATTTTTTTTTTCGTCCGTTCCATCCTGTAGTTAATTCTTTGACTGCGGCATCGGATATTTGCAAAGGCCAAATGGATGACTTTCTATGAAATATTTGTCATCGAAGTACGAGCGCATGAAGCCCCCATGCGACTTGATACCGTGGAAAATAAATTCAATTTGAATAATGCCATGAAATAATTATTATAGTCGAAATTCAGCAGTTGAGGCAATTTTCATCGAACAGAGCCAAAGCTACAACCGACCACTATGAGAAAATTCATAACGTTTCGACGCATGACCGTTACAGAACGAAGCGCATGGCGTCATATAAAACATGCATTGTTCTTTCATATGACATATGATGCATTTCCATCTGCACCCCACATCGTAGAAAATGAAAAATGAGGTCAAAGTTCGCTAAAATCCCTCAAAAAGAATATTCAGCTTTCGTTTTCGACATATGGGACAAGAATCAAAATAATACTTATTTCATGAAACTGAACCTGAGGTGGACACGTAGCACTGCATTTTTGTTTTATGTTGTTTCCCACAATAGGTAATGGGGAGGTAATGTCAAATATCAATTTGCTTTGAAAATGACATGTACAGCAATTCAGCTTGCATAAAACTCTTTTTTTTTTCTCGTGACGATGATAGATTCCATTATATCAGATGAGTCGTTACACGCATTTCTGGTTTGAGAGTTACGAAATTCCCCCGAGGGGGGTCACACGTGCTGAAAAACGGAGAATTCGGAGTTCCTATCTCGTGTACCAACGGAATGAAAATTGAAATGAATCGGATTTAGGAGTTTCATGCAAGACCTACGAACTGCGAAATTGTTTTTTCTTTTGTACGGTATGGGACGGTCGAGGGTCTCGACCATTCGGCATGGAATGGTCCAGAAAAATTTTACACATTGGGTTTTTCTGTTCATAATGTTCAAAAGTGGTACTTGTAAGTCCTCCATGATAACTTCCCTTTGGGAGCTTTTTAGATTATAATTACCGAAAGAAGGTAATGCCACGTAAATTGTAGAGTCCAACGAGAACTCCAAACATGGCCCTATGAGTTACCCATGGTTTTGCTTCCTGGACGGGAAATAAAATGCTCACGCCTTTGAAGCCTGTTGATGAAGGAAAATCTGAAAGGTATAAATGTATTGAAAACTTATAGCTTCTGTGAAGGTAAAAAAATACCGAAATTTCCGTAGAATCTGAAATAATATTGAGTCACCTGTAACGGACCATGCCCCAGGCAATAAATTATTGTTTTTGTTTTTCTTTTCGTTTTCTCCTCGGCGATAGCCGGGAAGAAGTCTTGGAGACCGCCTGAGTTAGGCTGGGCACAAAGTGAGGGTTTTTACACAACACATTTTCCTTGTAAGACGCATTAAGAAACGCTTCGTTCTGACTGCTAAAGCGAAGCATGAAAAATTAGCAGGTGGGAAAAATTATTATACTTCCATCATAAGGAAGGCGAAGACCTGGGTCGGAGAGGCCATGCCGGGACGGGAATAAAAAAAACATCCCCGTCCTTATGGAGGCCAGAACACAAGGATGGAAGGCTAGGATGGAGGAAAGCATGCTGCATGAGGACGATGTCGTGCCCAGGGTGAAGGATGGACCGTTCGCGACTGTGGGAGGCGAGGTAGAAGCAAGAACGAAAAGGGCATGCATCTTAAAAGAGGGCAAACGATCGGGGAAGGCGACACACCAGGAGAAGGCAAAAGACCAAAAGCCGCAGGAGACGGACATTAGGCAGTATCATCGGTTATTTTTTTTTGGCTGAGAGCAATGGAATTGAGGAGGAAGAAGCCTTAAGCCTAGGATGGGATTTTCTCAGCACTTCACTCTTTCGCAGAGATTCTGCAATGAACATATTCTTCTGGAATATTAATGGCCAATCCGGGAAAATGATAGAAGAACATTTGCAGGAACTATCCCGGGGCTGTGAACGCGGCGATATCACGAAAATTGTAAGATCTTACGAGAACTCCGAAAATGATCCTATGAGTTTTTCTTCCAGGATGGGAAACTTGTTGCATTCAAGCCTCTGATGCTTGCCGATGAAGGGAAATCTGATAGGTATGAATGTATTGAAGATTAGCAACTTCTGTGAAACTTAAAAAAAAAAAGACATTTACATTGGAT